AGTGCTTATACAAGATGCATTGTTTTTGGCAGGAAACCCCCCCCTACTTATTCAACAATATATATATATATATATATATCATGACACCCGCGAACATAGCGTATTGGCGTACTTTGAATTCATAATGAATTAAACAAAGAAATTGTAAAGCTATACAAGACATAGTGCTAATAATATTTACAATTATGTAGGACCTTCAAGTTGGGGGCGGTGACCTACCACTCTCCTAGAAGGAAAGTAACGTCTAAAAACTCGGTTTATCATACCAGAATTGTGGTTAATGACCGAGAAAACTTCAGCATAGATGCGCTAGGAACGTTTTGATAAGGTACACATATCAGTCAAACTGGTAACAGTGCAGTTTCATGAACGTTTCAGTCATGCATTGCGTTGAAATGACGATTTAAATCATTAAATCACCAGAAAATTAATCTGATATTCTGAGTTGTTGATTCATTAATCTCATGTTCTTAAGAAGAACTTTCAGAAATATTTCAAACATGTGAGAGAAGTCTAAACAATTATTACTTGTTTTTCATATCATTATAAATCTATATAAATATAATAATACTGTCTGTTGTATGTCCATGTAACTTCTTCGCAGGGTGTGGATGGATCTTCATCAAAACTGGTATGGAGGTTCATTAGGTCCATGGGGAGCTACATACAATTGTTCAGTTTTGCATTTTGCTGTTTTTATGGCCGTTTTTTACCACTAACTCACCTCCTGTGGATGGACCTTCACCAAATTTGGCATGAAGATTTGTTCGGTCCATGGGGAGACACATACAATTTTCAGCTTTGCGTTTTGCGGTTTTTATGGGCGTTTTTGTATTTTTTATTTGCCAGTTTGTTTCACTTCGCCCCTTGTTGATGGATCTTCACCGAATGTGGCATGAAGGTTTGTCGGGTCCATGCAGAGATACATGCAAACTTGCGGTTTCACATTTTGTGTTTTGCTGTTTTTATGTGCGTTTTTTACAATTAAATTATAAGGGAAACAACTTTCATGTTCTAAGATAACCTTTCATTAATTACGAATTTACATAACTTCCATCCAGGGAACGGGTACTCCAGCTAATTTAAAATAAAACTATACAAACTATCTAATCACAAAATCCACTGATTTGTGGTTTTAAAAATACCTTCTAGATTTAAAATTAAAATGTTGAAAATGAATAACGGTTACACTATATCAAGTAAAATTTCGCGAATATGGCGAATTCAACATTTAATGATAATTCCGAAATATTCAAACCTAGGGTCTGAAACATTTTTGTACAGAAGATTGCTGCAACAAGGTCAAATTGACCACGAGACACGGGTCTATCTTTGTAGTATTTTATCGTTATTGTAATGATTCTATTTCTTGCACTTTGCTAAGCCATTAGCAGATAAGTTTGTTTGTTTGTTTTAGAGCAAAGCCACATTGGACAATCTGTTCTGCCCACCGAGAGAAATCAAACCCCGGAATTTAGCGTTTTAAGTTCGCAAAATTATCGCTGTCCCATCGGCGGACTTAGATAATAAGAGGTATGATGCAAAATATCATTAACAAGTATTGTTGCGTCAGCGAGTCACATGACCACCGTGACGCAACATTTCTAGAACTATC